TGGGAGGCTGGGAGGAGGGAAAAACTTTTTTTTCCTTTTCCAAATTAAATAGAAAGAAAGAAAGAAAGAAATTAAAGTCTTCCTTGAATTTAATGAAAATAAAGAGAAAACATACTCAAACCTATGGGACACTATGAAAGCAGTGCTAAGAGGAAAGTTTATAGCACTAAGTGCTCACTTTTAGTAAACGGAGAATGCATACATTGGGGACTTAACAACACACCTGAAAGCTCTAGAAAAAAAAGAAGCAGACGCGCACAGGAGTAGTATAAGCCTGGAAATAATAAAACTGAGGGCTGAAATCAACAAAATAGAAACACAGAAAACAGTCCAAAGAATCAATGAAACAAAAAGTTGGTTCTTGGAGAAAATCAACAAGATCGACAAACCCCTATCCAAACTAATTAAACGACAGAGAGAGAACACGCAAATAAATAAGATCAGAAATGAAAAGGGGGACATAACCACAGACACAGAGGAAATTCAGAGAATCATTAGATCTTACTACAAAAGCCTGTATGCCACAGAACTGGAAAATACAAAAGAAATGGACATTTTTTTTAAAATAAGTACCATATACCAAAGCTAAACCAAGACCAGGTGAATGATCTAAATAGACCTGTTAGTCGCGAAGAATTAGAAGCTGTTATCAAAAATCTCCCTTCGAAAAAAAGCCCAGAACCAGATGGTTTCAATGCAGAATTCTACTAGAACTTCCAAGAAGAACTAATACCTATACTCCTTAATGTATTTCGCAATATAGAAACAGAAGAGTCATTGCCAAATTCCTTTTATCAAGCTACAGATACCCTGATACCAAAACCACACAAAGACCCAAACAAGAAAGAGAATTACAGGCCTATCTCACTCATGAATATCGACGCAAAAATTCTCAATAAAATACTGGCAAAGTGAATCCAAGAACACATTAGAAAAATTATCCATTATGATCAAGTAGGCTTCATCCCAGAGATGCAGGGCTGGTTCAACATACGCAAATCTATCAATGTAATCCACCACATAAATTAACTGAAAGAAAAAAAAAACATACGATTATTTCATTAGACGCTGAAAAAGCATTCGACAAAATTCAACACCCCTTTATGATAAAGGTCTTGTAGAGATTAGGGACACAAGGGTCACACCTAAATATAATAAAAGCTATTTACAGGAAGCTGACAGCTAACATCAAATTAAACAGAGAGAAACTCAAAGCCATCCCACTAAAATCAGGAACACGACATGGATGTCCACTCTCTCCATACCTCTTAAATATAGTGCTTGAACTTTTAGCAATAGAAATAAGACAACATAAGGGGATCAAGGGGATTTGAATTGGAAAGGAAGAAGTTAAACTTTCCTTATTTGCAGATGATATGATAGTGTACATAAGCGACCCCAAAAACTCCACCAAAGAATTTTTACAGCTGATAATCAGCTTTAGTAATGTGGCAGGATACAAGATCAACTCCAAAAAATCAATTGCCCTCCTATACACAAAGGATATGGAAGCAGAGAGGGAAATCAGAGAAGCATCACCATTCACGATAGCCACAAATAGCTTAAAATATCTTGGGGTAACTCCAACCAAGGAAGTGAAAGATCTATTTGACAAGAACTTTAAGTCTTTGAAGAAAGAAATTGAAGAGGACACCAGAAAATGGAAGGACCTCCCTTGCTCTTGGATTGGGAGGATCAACATAGTAAAAATAGCAATTCTACCAAAAGCAATCTATAGATTCAATGCAATCCCTATCATAATCCCATCAAAATTCTTCACAGATCTGGAGAAGATAATAATCAACTTTATATGGAAAACCAAAAAACCCAGGATAGCCAAAACAATCTTATACAATAAAGGATTGTCTGGAGGCATTACCATCCCTGACTTCAAACTCTATTACAGAGCTACAGTATTGAAAAAAGCTTGGCATTGGCATAAAAACAGAGAAGTCGACCAATGGAATCGAATAGAAGACCCTGACTTTAACCCACAAACCCATGAACACCTCATTTTCGATAAAGAAGCTAAAAGTATACAATGGACAAAAGAGAGCATCTTCAACAAATGGTGCTGGCACAACTGGATGTCAATCTGTAGAAGAATGAAAATAGATTCATATCTATCACCATGCACAAAACTCAAGTCCAAATGGATTAAAGACCTCAATATCAGTCCGAACACACTGAACCTGATAGACAAGAAAGTGGGAAGTACTCTACAACACATGGGCACAGGAGACCACTTCCTACGTATAACCCCAGCAGCACAGACATTAAGGGCAACCTTGAATAAATGGGACCTCCTGAAACTGAGAAGCTTCTGTAAAGCAAAGGACACTGTCACTAAGACACAAAGGCAAACCACTGACTGGGAGAAGATCTTCACCAACCTTGCAACTGACAAAGGTCTGATCTCCAAAATATATAAAGAACTCAAGAAACTAGACCGTAAAAGGCTAATCAACCCAATTAAAAAATGGGGCACTGAACTGAACAGAGAATTCTCAACAGAAGAAGTTCAAATGGCCAAAAGACACTTAAGGTCATGCTCAACTTCCTTAGCAATCAGGGAAATGCAAATCAAGACAACTTTAAGATACCATCTTACACCTGTCAGAATGGCTAAAATAAAAAACACTAATGATAGCCTTTGCTGGAGAGGTTGTGGAGAAAGGGGTACACTCACCCATTGCTGGTGGGAATGCAAACTTGTGAAACCACTTTGGAAAGCAGTGTGGCGGTTTCTCAGGAAATTCGGGATCAACCTACCCCTGGACCCAGCAATACCACTTTCGGGAATATACCCAAGAGAGGCCCTATCATACAACAAAAGTATATGCTCAACTACGTTCATAGCAGCATTGTTTGTAATAGCCAGAACCTGGAAACAACCTAGATGCCCTTCAATGGAAGAATGGATGAAGAAAGTATGGAATATATACACATTAGATTATTACTCAGCAGTAAAAAGCAAGACTTCTTGAATTTTGCATACAAATGGATGGAAATAGGAAACACTATCCTGAGTGAGGTAAGCCAGACCCAAAAAGAGGAACATGGGATGTACTCACTCATATTTGGTTTCTAGCCATAAATAAAGGACATTGAGCTTATAATTCATGTTCCTAGAGAAGCTAAATAAGAAGGTGAATCCAACGACAAACACATAGGCATCCTCCTGAATATTAACCTTCATCAGGCGATGAAAGGAGACAGAGACAGAGACCCACATTGGAGCACCAGACAGAAATCTCAAGGTCCAAATCAGGAGCAGAAGGAGAGGGAGCATGAGCAAGGAACTCAGGACCGCGAGGGGTGTATCCACACACTGAGACAATGGGGATGTTCTATCGGGAACTCACCAAGGCCCGCTGGCCTGGGTCTGAAAGAGCATGGGATAAAACCTGACTTGCTGAACATAGCGGACAATGAGGAGTACTGAGAACTCAAGAACAATGGCAATGGGATTTTGATCCTGCTGCACGTACTGACTTTGGGGGAGCCTAGGCAGTTTGGATGCTCACCTTACTAAACCTGGATGGAGGTGGGCGGTCCTTGGACTTCCCACAGGGCAGAGAACCCTGATTTCTCTTGGAGCTGATGAGTTAGGGGGACTTGATTGGGGAGAGGGAAGGAAATGGGAGGCGGTGGTGGGGAGGAGGCAGAAATCCTTAATAAATAAATAAATTTAAAAAAAAAGAAAAGGAAAAAAAGGAAATAAAAAGGATTGAAGTCAGAGGTCAAACATAAAAGATACAGATCTACGGAATGGACTACAAATCTATAGATGTGCATGATCCAATTCAGTAGCCACTAGCCACGCGTGGATATTAAAACTTGGGTCAAAGTTAAGGAAAACTTGAAATACTCAGTTTTACTACCACACTGCAAAATTTCAAACCCCAGAAGTGGACAGTGGTTAGTCCTGTGCAATGCAAAAAGTATTTTTCACTATCTCAGAAACCCCTAGGGAAAGTGAATCGGTGGTTCCCCAGGGGATGATTTTCTTTCTAGGGGAACATTTGGTAGTCTGGAGGTATGTTCACGTGCAGCAAGCTAGAGAAGGACACACTACTACTTGTGGAAATGTAGCGAAGGTACTAAGCATCCTACAATGCAGAACTCAACCTCTCCCACAATAAATTATCCTGCTGCAAATATTAATTGTTTTGTATTTAGGAAACAGTCTAACCGAAATTCAGTTTCTCCTGCTTATACTCACAACACAAATCACTTTCTGCCCAAGGTGGGTGTGTCGTCTGTGTATATTTCTCCCACATCAACCAAGTAACTATTACTACAGTGGGGAATGCCAGCCACTTATTCAAATCTAAAGGCGTCAGCATATGCAGCTAGAGGCACAGTCCCAATACGGTGTGGCACCTCGCCCCTTCAGCTGCACCTTGATGCAAATCTGAAGCCTCAGGTTGTTTCAGTTGTACCCGTGATCAACCAGCTGCAAACTCAGGTTCCACTACCTCCTCCATGGGCTCGACTTATAAAGTCATCCACAAGGTGGGAAAGCGTGGAATCACGGCTAAGCAAGTTATAGTTCTTCGTAAACATTTTCCAAGCATAGTGTTTAAAAGTGTATTTTCACTTGTGGAGCTAGGAATATCGAGGCTCACCTAACTCAAAATCGGCCACACACGACAGACATTCAAAAGCTCCCGGGCCACGGGAGGGGAGGGAGGAGAGAGTTCACCTGCAAGCCCCGCGGTAGGACGGGAGCGCGCTTGCGCTCTCCGCCCCACGCTGCCGCCCGCGCAGGAGCTGCACTTTAAGTAACGCTTCCGGAGGAGTCGGTGCTGGTGACTTTAAAGGTTCGTTTCTAACCAACCCTCGAGTGGAAGGTGAATGGTCACGAGGCCTCTTTTAAGCGCGATCGGTGGAACGCTACTCCCAGACAGCCCGGAACCATAAGTCGGGATGCCTAGCGTTTCCTCGCGGACTTTCTGAGAAATCACTTCCGCCCCCCCCCCCCGCCCCCCCACTCGAGGGGTCGGGGACTGGAATATCCGATACGGTTCCGGCGAGAGCGGCTGGAAAAGCACTTCCGGTGTCTGTTGCCAAGGCGCCGGCCGGCCCCGGGCGGAGAGGGCGGCTTTAGTGGCGTCGCCCTCTGCCCCGTTTCCCGGGGCCGAGATGTCGGGGCTCAGCCACCTGGAGACGGAGGGCTGCCGGAACCTGCTCGGCCTGCTGGACAATGACGAGATCAAGTCCCTGTGCGACACCGTCACCAACCGCCTGGTGCAGCCTGTGGACCGCCAAGGTAGGCGCGCCGGCGGGCGGCAGCCTCCGGCCGAGGGGACGGGCGGGCCGGAGACGCTGCTGGGCCGTCCGGGGCCCGAACTCGCGGGGACGCCGCTCCGGCCGCGGCTGTGCGGGGCTCTGCAGCTTCCGGAGCCGACCGGGTACAGTGTAGGTGACACGAGGACCCGAATTTCAGGAAAATTTCAGGAGTCCGCCGTTTTTCAGCAGTTCCAGAAAGCCCCAGAGTGGGATTTAGTTTTAAGTTTCTATCATCCGGGGAATGAGCGGTTGCTGCTCTGGCTGTTTGCTTTCCACCGAAAAGGAAGAACATAAACACCTCTTGTGGGACATAACCTGTTGCAGCCGACAAAAGGCCGGTGTCTTTAATCCATATATGTCATGGAATGCTCAGTCTCTTCGTCCTGCAGTTAAAGTTCAGCAGTGGCAAAATCACAAGTTGTTTTTTTTTTTTAATTAAAAAAAGTTGTATGTAATACACAAAAGATATATATGTACGTTGAATTTATAAAACATTAAAAAATATCCTTACTAAATATAGACTATTGATATGTATGTTGCTGTAAAGAAAGGGATAACAATACCCCCCCCCCCCCAAAAAAAAAATTTTTAAAAAAAGAACAAACAGAAACACTCGAATGTAGTGGTACCCTGAGCTGGGTAGAAAAAGAGGATAGCATTAGGGAAGTTTGAACTTGGGGCTTCAAAGATGTTGTGTGTTCCGTGGAATAAGGTCTTTGGAAGGTGTATGTGCATTTTTTAAAATTGAGTTTTGCTGTTTTGCACCTGTCGTGTGTCTGAAAGATAGATTTTAGCCTGTGTTTTCAGCACAACTTTTTTTTAAATTTTTTTTTTTCAGCACAACTTTTTAAATTTAAAAAAAAACTTCCAGATTCTGCCACTTAACCAACTTTGATTATCTGTAGAATCAGGAGTTTGACAACATTCTTTGACATCTCAAATATTGTCATTTTAATCACTTTTTCAAGGTTCATAGACTTTAGGTGTTTGGGGTCAAATATTTTTATTAAAACAACTTTTATTTTTTTTTTTATTTTGGTTTGGGGGGGCAGGATTTCATTATATAGCCCGGACTGTCCTGGACTTGGCTTTGCAGACCAGGCTAGCTTGGAACTCTAAGAACTGCCTGCCTCTGTCTCCCTAGTGCTGGGACAAAAGTCTTTGCCACCATTACCACCACCAGTAAGATAAAGTAGGTTTAAAGTGTGAACAGTTTGAAAAGGAAACAAATGGATAAGCCACGTCTCCCTTTTCAAAGCATAGCTGTCTTATGCAATAGCAAGTATCACAAGATCGTAAATATATTCTAGTAGAGTTTTTGCTGACGTTGGGCAAATTTACAAATGCCTCATGATTGTCTGTTAATTACTGTTATTTTTTTCTAGATGCTATTCATGCAATATTAGTTTATAGCCAAAATGTAGAAGAACTTCTGAGGCGCAAAAAAGTCCACCGAGAAGTCATATTTAGATATTTGGCAACACAAGGGGTGGTTGTACCTCCAACTACTGAAAAACACAATCTTATTCAGTATGCAAAAGGTTACTGGGAAAAACAGTCACCAAAACTGAAGGAGACAGCAGAACCAGTTACAAAGACAGAGGATATCCAGCTCTTTCAACAGGTACACTAGATTTGTACTTCTGCTCTGAATCCCTGTTCTGTCTGAAACTGTGCAAATAATCATAGAACTGAGGCGAGTGGTTCTTAGTATGTGTTATCTAGTCTTTACCTCCTTTATGTTCTTTAAGACCTCTGAAGCCACTTAGATGCCAGATCCTTCTCAGATGGGGTGTGCATGGAATCTGTTGGATTGGGTGTGGGGGGCGTGGGAGTATAGTCCTCTTCCCACAGATGAGAGCTAGTGTATGTTTAGAAACATAAGAATCATTTCATTTTAGCTCTACTTCTCATGGTTTTGTAGTTTAAAAGAAAGCTAATCGTCAATTTCCTTTGCCATTTTGTAATACTGCCTTTGGTAGTCATGTCAAAATTTTATTTAGGAAGCGTCAAAAAATGATTTCCACTTTTCTTCAGTTGATCCTGGCTGCTCTGGTTTGTGTGTGCATTAGATACTGATTGCTTAATGTTGATAGATTGAACTCTGGGGAGTTACTATACTTTCATAGTACTACTTAGGAAATGATGTGTTAAGGTCTCATTTGCTTAGTATACAGAAAAGAGAAAAAAATGCTCATAGCAATGTTATCAAGCTTATTGCGAAGACTGGGAAAATGTACTTAAATATCATATTCTTTGTTAAATATATTGAATAGCAGGTACTCCATTAGTATAGAATAAGATATAATATCTTATTCTTGGTGAGTACTATGTTCTGGCATACATAGATGTATGAAGTCGTTTATAGAGCATGTTTTTATAGTAATATTCACTTTTAATTAAAAAAAATAGTATTAATTCCAGTCATGGAAAATTACCCATTTCAATCACCTTTAGAATTATCTCTTTAAAGAAGGTAGAAGGGAATTTTTTAAAAAAAAAAATACAAAAACAAAAAAACATTGTGACAAACCTCTCCTGATTAAAAAAAAAAAGTCATTTTGTGTTAGAGCAGATACCAAGAGCTTACTTTTCAATAGTTAGAAAAGTGCAAAATGAGTTTTAATAATTATTGCAATGTCTTTTTTTCATAATCACCTTTATTGACATTTAGTTTAGTCAATAAAGGATCCATTTGAAGCAATTTGTTTTAAATTTTGAGAGATGTGTATAGTCAAGGGAAAATTATACACAAACCATTATCATTGACTGTTCATGCTGACATTGATATTTTAAAGGGTTTTGTTCATTTTTGATTTTTTAAAACTTTTTCTAAGACCAAATCATGGAAACTGCATATGACATTCCTATCTTACTGTGTTATAATTGGTTTTGAGGAGACAGGATATGAGACTAGGAGGACTGTCACATGCAGGAGGGAGACTTGATTGCAAGCTCCAGGTCAGTGTTGGACAGAATAAGACCCTTTCTTAAAGGAAGGGAAAACACAAAAAATCTTGGGTATCTGTGAGGTTTGATTCCCAACATATGAGAGATAAGGAAATGAGAGGGGGTGGGGAGGGGAAAGGAGAGGGAGAGAATGAGAATGAATGAATGAATGAGAGCATGCTGGGATTGGTCTTGGATTCCTGTGTTCAAGCCATCCTTCTACCTCAGCTTCCTGAGTAGCTGGTATGGCAGCTGTGTGCCACTGAACCCAGCTGTGGCCTTGTTAAATTTTACTGAGCTAAAATTTAAATTTAAAATATTTTCTTCCTTTTTGAAATAAATTTTTCAGTGTATGATATGGTTCAGTTCCCTTTGCTCTAACTGGTATGTTCGCATTTAGCTAGACTTGACTGTGAGAGGTAAGCCTTCACTAGGAAATGGTTTGTGGAGACTTGACTGTGAGAGGTAAGCCTTCACTAGGAAATGGGTTTGTGGAGACTTGGCTGTGAGCGGTAACCCTTCACTTCACTTTGTGTTTGTCTTAACCAGCAGGCAAAAGAAGATAAAAAAACTGAAAAGATCGATTTTCGTCGCTTGGGAGAAGAATTCTGTCACTGGTTCTTTGAACTTCTTAATTCTCAGAATCCTTTTATGGGGCCACCTCAGGACGGATGGGGCCCGCAGCACTTCTTTCATGATGTCAAGCTTAGGTTTTATTACAGTACCTCAGAACAAAACGTGATAGACTACCATGGAGCAGAAATCGTGAGCCTTCGTTTACTGTCTTTAGTGAAAGAGGAATTTCTTTTTCTAAGTCCCAACTTCGATTCTCAAGGACTAAAATGTGCTTCTTCTCCTTATGGAGTAGTTATGGTTGGAGTTGCAGGGACTGTCCACAGAGCAAATACTTGTTTGGGCATATTTGAGCAAATTTTTGGACTTATCCGTAGCCCTTTTGTGGAAAATACTTGGAAAATCAAATTTATCAACCTGAGAATTATTGGAGAAGGTTCCCTTGCTCTCGGAACATCACTGAAACCAGCTGTTACATTTGAACAGAGTGATCTGGAGGCCTTTTATAATGTAGTCACCTTGTGTAATAGCACTGAAGGAAGACCTAATGTAAAGCAGACATTGGATAGTGGAACTGGAGACCAGGTTTTAGGTAGTGGAGACGAGGCGTTGTTGAACAAAAAGGAACTGAATTTGCCTAACCCTCTGAAGCATTGAGCACTGTGCATCAGCTGGAAGTCGCTGCAGAATCCCTTCCCAGCACAACGCTGATCATCTCTAAGTGATTGCCGACGTGAGGATTGACGTATTTTAGCTGAAATACCTTTCTGGACTCCAGACTAATGTGGATATTTGCTATTTCTACCCGAGTTACAGCAAATGTTGTGAGAACTTATTGCAGTCCATCAAATAAATCCTACTTGAGATGTGGATAACTGTGTGTCTTAGAAACCATAGGTGGTATTTGAATTTATTTAGTGAAAGCTTACAATCTCTGAACCTCCAAGTGGCAGCAATTAGTAGTAGTCATGCTTATTGGATATCTTACAAATGGGTCTTACTAAAGTGCTTCTGAAAAATAAGAACAAACCAAAAGTAACATTTTAGAGATGTTTAGTATAGTGTTACTAATTATATAAAATATGAATAATATACTTGTGCAAAGAGTCCAATAATTTATCCTGGGAAGAAAAGCTTATACTTCTTTTTGAAGCGTCTCTTTCAAATTATCTGTTCTAGTCCAAGCAAATTATCTCAAAATCTACTTTGCTCAACTATTTTGGGCAGCAGATGTTGTTTTCAACACAGACCTTATTACTACTTAGGCTTCAGCCAACAGTTTTATAGAACATTGACTATGATACCCTAAAGATGGAAACTGTGCTTTGAACATTGAAAGGTGTGCACCATTCCTAGGAATCAAGTTACTGTTCTTCCCTACTGATTGTGGCAGAGGTGATTCTCCTCAAAATAGAAACAGAGCCCCTTTAGAACTTACTTACATGGCTGTGGAAATATGCATACATGTAGCCTAAAAACGGTTTTCACCTCTGTGTTACTAGATTTGAGATCCAAAGTTGATTTGCCAGGTTAGAGTTTATATTTCTCATCACCTGGTAACTATTTGCTTATCCTAGATTTGGTTAAAAATTTTAGTTTTTAAATTACTATTTGGAAAAATATCTGGAAAATGTTATGGTTTATTATACTTGTTAATTTTTTTATTGAACTCTGATAATTTAGGGTGATTGGTTATGAGTATTGGAAGAGGTAAGCATTCATTCACACCTCCCCTTTTGTTTTAGGGGCATGTCTCTATGAAGAGTACAAATCAGTGTGTTCTAACATAAGTTAATAAAGATGCGAAATCCTTTTTTTCTGTATTAGAATAGTAAACTGGTTCCAGCCCACAGTTCTTAAGGAGAGCTTTAGGCAGTTTAACACCACAAAGCTGCTTTTCCTTTATGTATATTGTCAGCATATTATAAAGAAACAGCAGCCTACAGAACAGTTACTGTGTGTTCACAAGGTAAGGCAACTAGGTCACTCTGCCTCTCCTCGGGTTTGAAAACTTAGTTTGATTTTATACTCATTTGGGTTTTAAGGATCAAGTTAAATATCCTGAGAAAAGCATGAGATGGAAAACTATCCTTGTTCTATTTGTGTCAGTACTGTGGAAATCTTCACTTATCTTCACTATTGAACCTTTGAATGTATAAAAACACTAAGAAAGGCTCAGATTTCTACACATAGTTTTAAGTCAACTTAAAAAATTTGATATATTCTTGATTGAGAGGATTGGCTGCTTTTGGGGGTTATCTCTGCATCTGGGCTCAAAGTAGATCCTCATATTGCAGGGAAGTAATAAATGAGCAAAACACTAGGTGGGGAGGTTTCAAGTTTGGTCTTCCACCCCCAGATTTTTTGGTCACATTGATTTAATATGTAGATGTACAAAAACGTAGGCCTCCTTATTACTCAGATTTAAGAGAGTTGTATTTGGGTTGGTGGAAATATTGGTGACTGAGACAATATAACAAATATATAGGGAACTAATATGAAGAAAATGGCCAGAGAAAGAAATCTAGACTGAAATTTGTTGAAGAAGCTTGGAACCAAAAGAAAGTGCAAACATTGACTTCCTTGGCCCACCACCATGGCAGCAGTTGAAGCAAGCTGTAGGTTCTTTTTGCTATATTCTACCTAGCTAACACGTGGAAGATCTGGCACATGCAATGCTTCTCATGGACTATGGACTGATTGGCATACTGCTTCGTTTTATATTAAGTTGAGACAGCTAGAGTCTTCCAAGAGGAGGAACCTCCATTGAGAAAATGCCTGATAAGATCGGGTTATAGACCGGTCTGTAGAGCATTTTCTTAATCAGTGATTGATGGGGAGGGGCTCAACCTATTGTGAGGGAGCCACCCCTGGGCTGGTGCTAATGGGTTCTATAAGAAAGCAGGTTGAGCAGGCCAGCAGCAGCACTTCTTCATGGCCTCTGCATCAGGTTCTGCCTCCAGGTTCCTGCCCTGCTTGAGTTCCTTTTCTGACTTCTTTCATGATGAATAGTGATGTGGATGTGTCAGCCAGGCTGACACGAGTTGCTTTGATCATGGGATTTTTATTACAATAGTTGCCCTGACTAAGACAATTAAGACAATTGGGCTTTCAGGGATCTTCTGGACTTTTTTTAATTAAAAACTCCTTTTTGTTAAAATGACTAAATAAAAATGTTTAAGTAGTCCACTAAATTGTAAGCAGTGTTACATTAAGATATTCTATTAGTATCTAAAAATTCATATTTCATGTGTCTTAAAAACTAAAATGCCAAACTACAGGGGGAAAAAAAAACATGTGCAATTTATTAAGCCACTTTGTGAGCAAAGCAGGTCAGGAGATATTCTGTGGCCTTCCCAAGGTGATGTTTTTCTGCCAGAGGAAGGCTGTTTACCTGATGTTACTAAATTATGGAAGAGAATGTAAAGGCCTGCTTTAACATATAATTATAGCCTGATGCATTTAATCCCCACAGTTGGAAGGCAGAGGTAGGAGGATCTGTGAGTTCCTGGTCTACTTAGTTCCAGGCCAGCCAGGACTATGTAGAGATAGCCTGTCTCCAGAAACTGAAATAAAACAACAGTAATTAAGTAGTTAGAAAATGTGCATTGACATAATAGCTCTGGGCTTGAGTAGGTCATCAAAATGAATGAAAACCATACCATATTAGTCTTTTACACGTGTAGGTGACATTTTCTTTACTTTTTTGGTGCTAGGGACTGAGCTCAGACTCATACGTGTAATGTACTGAACACACCCCCTACCACAGCAACAGCTATTGCAGTGATTGACATTAGCCTTTTATAGCAGAAGGGGAGGGTGCAGTTTTTCCAAAGTTGGATTTTTTCCTGCCTTTTGATGTATTCCTGAATCTTTCCGAAGTACATGTGAGTCCTGTAGATATTCCACATTAGGAAACTTTTCTAGAATACTATTTTTCTGATTGCCCCTCAGTGTTCAAATTTCAGACATTATCTAGTTCTTAAGTCAGTGGACCAAACCTAATGAATGAAAGTGTTATCTCTAGGAAATATATTTTAACTTATAAACTTTATTTTCAAAAGATGTTAGGATTAGATCTACTGAAATACTGTCAAGTAGGTCATAAAAATATTTACAGGTTGTACCACTCTGATGAAATGATAGACAGCATGCTTTGGAATTAGAATCTCAAGCTGAAGGAACTGCGGGGTACTTCCTGCCACCCAGCACCCGGCCGCCTGGCTAGCTTATGCCCCAAACTGTATTCATATAAACACTGCTTGGTCCATTTCTATTAATCTGTGTAGCACCATGAGGTGTGTTTACCGGAAGATTCTAGCCTACGTCCATCCTGGGTCGGAGCTTCATGGCATCTGCTCTGGAGAGGGAGTGGCATGGTGTCTGAGCTCACTTCCTCTTCCAGCATTCTGTTCTGTTTACTCCACTCACCTATGTTCTAACCTATCAGGCCAAGCAGTTTCTTTATTAATTAACCAATGACCTTCCTTCATCAATCCTAAGATGATGTTGATTATCAGTGAGTATATTTGGGGAATTCTAATGAATGGTTTCCAGGAACACTCACACTGTTCCCTTCCTCTACTTCTACAACCCTTCCTGTAACCTTAGTTTCTACTCACTTTGGATGGAGATAGCATAGTTGCAGTGCTGGAAAATTGGATCTGGGTTCTCTTCAAGTAAGTTTAATATATATTAATTGTCTATCATTTATAAGTTACTGGGTCAAGTGTAAAATGTCAATAGCTTGTTTGGGTAAGGATGTTGAGTTTAAATCTCACTATTGAAGTTTAGATTGCCTTTGAGTGAGTTTCTTTAGGTTGAAAGATTTTGATAGACTCATATAATCATAAAAAATTAATTGAAAATTTGAATACTCATAAGGACATATGCAATATAGGTTAAATATAAATATAGAAATATGCTAATTTGACATCGTTTATATTTTAAAGGAAAATTTCCAAATTATGAGAATTTGTCAAATATGTTAGCCTCATTTTGTTAGTGAACCTTTCTAGTAGCCTTTAGTACTTCAATTATATGTTAAAATTGCCATATTTATCTCAAGTTTACTGTGATTTTTGAAGCCAGAATTCCAGTGTTATGTATGTTACATCATGAAATTACTGGCCTAGAATTTTCAGTTTTCCATCAATATTGTATCTCTCTTATTGTCCTTTTAGACATTCAGTAAGGCTCTGTGCTAATTTTCATCTTCAGTTTGTAGACACTAAACAAGGTTGAAATTATATTTGACTTGTTCAGCTTCAAGACTGAAAGACAAAGTGCCCACTACCAAGTTCACCAGCTGTCTGGTGAGCAGCTCTACTAACAGTGTACTGGGGAGGAGAGCTCGGGGTGTAGCTCAGTTGAATGAGTTCTTGCCTCGCATGCAGGAGTCGTTGGGTGATCGCCATCAAGTATTAACCTTGTATGGCTGTGACCACCTGTAATGCCAGCACCAGGGAGGCAGTACGAAGACCAGATTGCTCATGGTCATCTTGGTCTATATAGGAGTTGGATGCCAGCCTGGCATACATGAGGTACCCCTCCCCAAGGAAAAATTACTGAGGAAGGTTATTGTTGAAACCTTTAGTTTATAAATTTGTACACTTTCCTCTGGTTCTTATCTTCATCTCTATTAATGGTTACTCTTACATAATTCATAGTCTTATATTAAGTTGCTTTTGTCTCCCTAAGTTGTACGTTGCTAGAGCTGTTTTACTTTGCAATCAATCCTCTTCCCACAGTTTCTTGTACAAGATAAGCATTAGATAAATTCAGAGTACTAATTATATGACAGTTTGCCTTCCTGTGTACACTGGATGTATTAATTTACTCTGGCTGACCACCATTATTGTAGTAGCA